GTGTGGTCATGTGTGACGTCATGAGAAGGAGAGGAGAGGGAGGAATTGTCGTTGTTGCTGATGCTGCTGCTGCTGCCGACACGGCGGAGGTGATTAGATTAGCTGTTTAATTTTTTTTTTTTTTGATAATTAAATTTATATTTTCTGCTCAACTTTTTCTGTAATGCTCAAATACTTTAATTATAAGCAATGTGATATATATATATATATATATATATATATATATATATATATATATATATATATATATATATGGTGCGATGGATAAACTGTCGACTAAATTACGCAAAAATAAAAATAACACTGACATTTCATTTTAAAAGATATAATTACGAAAATTACACAAAAAATATCTTGAAATACTAAAGAGAAAATTTATTCAACCATGGCCTCCAGACGGCTTCGAAATCTCCTGCAACTCTTCTTGTTTATGCTGGTGAATGCTGCCATAATCCTTCAGTTCATCTTTGGTGTTACAAGGAGCTTTGTTGGTCTCTCTCCCAGCTACACCACACATATAATAATCAAGTGGGTGCAGTCTAGAGAGTTCGGTGGCCGGATGTAAGGGATGATGCATCCTCGGAAATTGCCTGACAGCCATGACATGGTTCTCCTGCTTGTGTGGCATGGTGCAGAGTCCTGTTGCCAGACATGGAGTCTTCCAGCAGCACCCCCCTCTTACCTCAAGGCAGCACTATCTCCTCAAGGCACTTGATATAGGCCTCCATGTTGAGTCTGAGGCCCTCACCAACAAATTTGGAAGTTCTTTTTTTATTAGAACGATTAAAAGTGAGTTTTTCGACCTGTCGTACCTTCGTGATCACCATTAGACTTGTAGAGACCCGTTAGTTGATATGACCTCTCGAATTTATATTTAACGCAAAATACCACAAAATATGAAACAATAAGAATAAACACAAAACGGTTTTATAACAACAACGAGATTAAAATTTATATTTGTATAATGATGTACAAGCAAAGAGGTTACTATTTTTGTTGGTGTTATCTCCCTTTGACTAAATTAAAGTTTTTACTAATGAAATATTATTTTTTATCTGAGCTCATAAAAGTTGAATGAACTTGACGCTCAAAATGTTTGTTACGGGTTGTAGCCGAGTGAAAATGTATCAGAAAGTAATTTATGTAAGGCAAATGTTATGCGTGCTTATTATGCATTATCCCACAACACGTAGATCAAATAAAGAATATAAGGACAATTTGCATTGCAAGAAATTACTAAAAACACAGTGGTTAGAGATCCAACAATGAAGAGATTTTTATATATACAATAGATATACATGCAAGGATAACAGAATATTTGTTGATTGTGGCAATTGAGACAAGGTTATGAAGAATGTTCATGCAAAAATTTGGTCAATAAAAGTTAATGGTTTTGATTTGTTAGTGAAATTAAAATAATTCGGTTTCTTCAAGGAAAAATCTCAAATGTGTTCGTTCAAATATTAGTGCATATGTTTGTGTTACTTGTTAGTTAGAATTTAAGTTGTGAAGAGTTGTTTGCCTTTAAATGTTTGGCTAAATTGATGAATTGTACAATTACTGTTTATGTAGTGAAAACGTTCACTTTTTAAGTCAATTGTAATTTGATTACCACGCGGACAATGGTCGATTGAGTGCTGTGTTGAGTTTGTTGAGAATTTTGAAGTTATTTTCAGTCAGTGAATTGACACGCGTGGAGTTTGGTAGCATCTCACGAAACTTGATGACTGACTTGAATTGAGTCATGCAGTTGTTTATATAGACTGTGGTGTCTAAAAATCGGCTCCAGGGGGCTTCGGCGGGAAAAAGGATCTGTTTCGACTTTGCTACAGTTTAGTGTTTCTTAACCAATAGAAAATTGAATTTACTGAATCGAAGTGGTGATTGGTTAAGGCTTTTTTTTAGGGAAGCATACATCTTTCCGAAAGGGGTGGAAGGCTAATGTGGAAGATTCCACATGTTCACTGTAAGAAAGTTGAAAGAATTCTGTAAAGCTGAGAATATGGTGAGTAAACTTTTAGCTTTAGAAGAGTTGAAGGATTGAATGTTCCATAAGCGCTAACGATTATTCTTCAAATAATTCTATAGGCTATTGACTAGAGTATATTTATAGATCCAGTGCAGTTATTTGTAGTTATTTTATAGTGTTAACTTTTTATTCATTATTTATTACTTGTTGTTGATTATTATTATTATTATTATTATTATTATTATTATTATTATTATTATTATTATATGTGTTTGTGTACGTTTGTACTTTATTATTAATCGGTGTATTTAAATTTTTTATTTCATTTGTTTTTTTTTGTTTTTGTTTTTTTTAGCTTTGGTTATTTTATCAGTTTAATTTAAGGTATTAGCTTTGTCAAGAGTCTACTGCATTATCTGCATTGTATACAGTGTATATATATTTATATTTATTTTGGTGATATTTTACAAGGTTTTCGTTTTTTGCTTTCGTTTTTTATTTTATTTTTTTTTATTAACATACGGTAGAGTAATGGATAGAGGCTCGGATTTAGGAATCGGAGACACGAGTTCGAATTCCAGTCGAATCCATTACATTACGTGCTTGGGAAAGGTATGAATCGTCTTCTTCGAAGGCTAAGGGTAAATAGCAGAACAGACCGGGTTCTATAACAGTGGTCTACCGCAGAAAATGGCGCATAATTGAATATAAATTGTTTCGCTGTCTTTATTCTGATCATTTATTTCGTAGTTTGTGTTGGTCTGCGAAGATAATTCTAGCTATTTCCTCCTTCTCCTCCCACCCCTCCAGACTAAGTTTACAGTTTTGGTGTTTATTGTTGTAGACTGATGCTTTTTCTTTTCTCTTATTTTCCATAATATTTTTGGTGTAGTTTATTTTTGTTTTTAATTTCTCATATATGTTTAAAACGCATTGTGCTGTTCGCGTATTTACTCTTTGTAAAGGATGTGTGCGTAGTTTCTGTTTCCAAAATCTTTCACTTAATTCTATCTATATTTTTTTTCGTTATCTGCTGATTTTAAAGTGGCTTGATATATTATATTGTTTTGCAAGCAATTGTCATTGACGGGATATTCGTTCTTTGCTCAACAATTACGAGTTTGATTTTGTGAGTGGTTTGTTGGTTATTTTCTACTGTACTTATTATTCGTGTCATGCTCTTGGTGCAACCGTTTCTGTTGATTATATTATAGAGAGTGTTTGATGGTGGAGAAGTGTTTTGTATGAGTTAAATGAATATTTTTCCTATATTTGTTTTTACGTTTTTGCTGTACGGTGGGTTAAACCATATGTTTCTTTTCCTGTTGGCTTTTTTTGTGCTGCGTATGTGAGTGTTGCCGAAAATCCGCTATCCGTTAGGGCTGCTACATAATCTTCTTTGACTTGAGGATGGTTTAATTAGTGGAATTGTCAGATAACCTGCGATTAATTGTGGAATCTGCTTGATTATTATTGGCGGGTGGTTGGAAGATGTATATGTGAACTGGTTTATTGTTGGGCTTTCGAGATGATTGATGTGTACCTTTTCATAGGTTGAGTGTAACATCTAGGAAATCTACTTCTTTTAGATTTATTTTGTATCTATTAAAGCCCTTATGCTTTAAATTTGTTTATGATTATTTTTCTGGTTTTGTCTGCTACATTTTCTTAGGATTATGAAACCATCGTCCTTGTAGGAACCTATATAATTTTTATCAATTATTGTTCATTTAGTGAATGTATACCTTTAAAACGACCATCAAAACTTCTCATTGTAACATCAAAGGTCCTTTTTTTAGCCACGCGTCTTCGTTGTCGAATAATAAGGATTTTCGATAGTGCTTAATGAGTTTTACTTCGTTTGTGTTCATTTTCATTTTCAGTGTGGGTTCTGCTATAGAAGGGTAGAAATCTTTTATATCTAGTTGTATAAATTCGCAATTATGTTTGTTTTTTAGATTATCGAAACAGACTATGCTTGTTTTTGTGTTTTTCCACTGATTTACTACTAACTTCTTCCTTAGTTCAGAGTTAGTTCTTTCTAGTATTATTTTATTTCATTTTAAGTTTTAACACGTCCTGAAGATTGTTTACGAGTTTGCATGTTGGGTTTATTTTGAAGTTTTCTTTGTAGTCTTTTAGTGTAATGAATGCTTGTAATTTAACGATGCAATATGGTTGTTTAAGGTCAATGTTTGGGCGATGTTTTTAGCCTCCATGTTAATATTGTTTGGGTTTTGTTTGTTTGTTTTTTGGGGGTTTTTTTTTTTACTTTTCTGTGTGTTTTAGCTATGTTGTTCTCGAGTAAATGATGTTTTGGTACTTCGTTCATATAAGTTTCTAGTTTTGTCCACTGCGATAAATACGTTAGGTGAATTCATTACTTTATCTCTTTTTAATTTTTTCAGGAAAACATCAAATTGTTTATATAATGAACCAATGACCAGCATATATAACTGTCGAGCTAAAACACAAAACACGTGGCCTGAAGATTGTATTCAAACTCGAAGCAAATTGTCGTCCCTGGATGTTAACCACAGTGTCCACTTATATATTTGCATATCATCAATTCATGATATTGAACATAACATTTATGGTCTAAGGGAGGTAACTGAGATTTTTTCAATGAAATGGATAGTTTCTGTTTAGTTTTTCCTTTTGTCTATTTTCTTTTCCTTTGTCTTTCTCCTACATCTCTTTCTCCAATATTCTTTCTTTCTTTCTCTCACTCACTTTTTTTTTATTAATAATCTCTTCTGCGTATCCTCCCCCCTCATCTCAATATCTTTCTCTTCAGATTCTTGGAGAAATATAAGCATTTCCTGATATTGATAAAGTTTTTCTCTGATGCATTTTAACGGTGTCAAGGGAGACAACTATGGTAAATTCTCTAAGGGAGACAACTATCAATTTTTACTGAAATCGTGGAGTACTTATGAAAATTATCAAATTTATCTAATGTAAAATAAATCTTTCTTCTGTTATTATTTGTATTATCAGTTGTAGTTCCTTTTGCCTATGCTTGCCACAGATCCCACCTCTCAAGTTTAGAGGGTTACCTTCATGGGACGACATTTACAGGACTGTATATGTCTGCCTGATAGCCAGCGTTAAATGTTCTGTTGGACTGCGCTCCGAAGTCATGACCATCGTCTCCAAGACTAAATCCTTTTTATCCTTATTTGTGACTATCATTTCGGCTTTTCTGTCGCTAATACAAACAAGAGCCGTGACCTCTCCCCTTTGGCCTGCCAGGAGAACTCTCACTCGCTAACATAACTGGTTTGGGTTAACAGAACGCGCAAGCTACCTCACCCCGACTAGGTGCGAATGTTCCAAGCTACAATAGAACAGTCTTTATTGCTCTGTGGTTGCTCACGACAAAAACAGAGGCTTCCTCTCTTAGCAAAACCTATACATGAATGATGATAATGACTCAATATATTTTGGAGGGAGAGTATCATTCATCTATCGATATATCTCTATCTCTCGAGATATAAAATTAGAATGTAATTGATTGCAATATAATATATAAACAAAACGAAAATATCCCCCAAAAAAACAATAAATACTAATATAGCCACCACAGATCCTACTGAAAACAATAAAATTAATAATATACTATACTAAATTCAATATATCCAATTTAATCATTTGTAATGACTCCTCCCCACCAACTATTGTGTTGCAGAAAACCAATATTGTATATAAATTTAAATGTCTCTTGGGAGATTATATATGTTGGCCATACCACTACTATGTAGTCTCGAAGGTTGAGTTTTCATTTGAATGATGCATCTAACATCTCTCAACATTTACAACATCCCTGTCCACATTCGCAATTTAGGAAAATTCTTGTTGCAAATACATCTATACTTTTTCATGAAAATAATAAACAAACTAAAAATTCTTGAAGCTATCTCAATTAAAAAATTGAAACTAACCCTTAATAAAAAAAATTAATTTTGAATACTGCACAAATGATTTTAAATGTTTACAGCAGATAACTTAAAATATCTAGGCTTTAACTAAGTATTTTTGTTTTTCTTAAACATGGACATTTCAAACTTAGTTACCTCCCCTGACTTTTACATCGTGAAATTTAAATCATACAATATTTACTTAACCTTGGCGTTTTTCACTTCAATTAAAAAATTTTCATATGAACACAACTGTCTTAGAAAAAAAACCCACTGATGATGCCATTGTGCTAAAGTCGAAATTACTCGGAATTTAATAACGATACTAAGATCCTTGTCCATGAATACGAGAGGACCCTATTGAAAATAAGTAGGCAAAACTTGTCTAAATTATTCAATGAGATATGTCTTAATGAAAACATGCCAACAAAATATACGCTATATATATATATATATAATCAAATATATATGTCTGTCTATATATCTCTCTCTCAAATCAGAGAAAGACCCAAATTTGGTGGACACCGCATACACCATCCAAATGAGGAGGCAGAAATATTTACACTATTTACTTTCGATAGTATTGTCCGCATTTTTGTTGCAGTTTCGGTCGTTGTACCCTCCGGCCTTCATCAGGTGTATATCGATCCGGTTATCTTATAGAAAATTCCGAACTGCACCCCTAATTTAATCTAGAGGGGTATACTGTTCTTGTACACTGCCCATGTCTAGGGATATCTTTGCTAGTTATTATTTTTAGTACTGCTCAGTTACTGCTCACCTTGTTTCCAAGTAGATGCCACCCGGCCCAGGGACTGGACACGTAATTATGTCACGAAATTCATGAACGAACACTTTAATCCACGAGGAGGCTTCAAATTTTGTACTTTCAAATTTTTGTATTTTCTGGTAACCTACGGATGTAATAGGAAACCAGGAAAGACGGGCCCAGTCAGTTATTGATTACCTTGAAATTTTGTTGATGAACTAGACGGATTTCTATGAAAAATCGGACAAAAATTGTTTACGTGCCTCGGATTTGCGTCCAGCCAAATTAATTATGCCATTAAAAACAAAATATCAAATATTAATTTTTAGGTCATTTTTTTTCTTTTGGGACACATCTTAATTCGAATCGATAAAACCAGAAGCATTTGCCATTTCAGTCGATCATTTTTACAATGTTTCATTTAAACTCCATATTATTACTGCCTGAAGGTATGGTGGGTAGCGGCTTGGATTGAGGAATCGGAGAGCCGTGTTCGAATTCCAGTCTAGTTCATTGCATTATAATACTCTTTGGGAAGGTAGGAGTCCATCCCCACCAGCTATGGATAAATAACAGGACAGATTGCGCCCTATAGCCTTGGTTGGCAACCAGTTTAGCAGAAGGAAAACTGAATTCAAACCACCTTGTAGGTCCTGCCTCTTTAGGCAAAAGACTAGAAGAAATTAACTTCAAAAACAAATCCACCTTGCGTGTCTATCAAAGAAAAGAACTATGTGCCACGGCAGAAAATAATGGATTTCTTGGCTTTAGTCCAATGATTTGAATACAACATTGAGACACGGTATGGCGCCATGGACCTCTCTAATGTCGGGCCATTCACTCATGGGTGTATAGAGAATGACAACATTATTGATTATCTAGCTATTTTTCTTTTCCGCTATATTTTCTTTTTTTGTTTTGTTCTAGCTTCTCAAATCTCTACGGTTTTTTTAATTGTCATCGTTAATTTTCAGAGTTCATACCAACGCATTTGCCCTGAAATAAAATCTCCTTGTCTCATTTTTTTTTCAAACATCTGCTTTTACTTACTTTTATTGGACGTCTATTTTAATGAGCTTTCTCTTTTTGAAAATTAAATTAGCTGAATTTTACGACTAAAATCAAAAAACAGATTTTGCAAAGGGTGGTCTTGTAACCAGAAATTTTATTTCGCTTATTCAACAAACGTTTATTTTTCTGTATCCACCCCCTCCACACAAATGTCATCTTAATAGAATATCTTTATGTCTTCTAGGAAACTAAAAATTATATTATCTCATAATTTCACAATAACCGTTTCGTGTCTATTATTTTTTAAGTCTATAAAGTATTTTTCACGACGGTTATTTGCAAAAAAAAAAAAAAAAAAAAAAAAAAAAACCTTCGTAGCATATTTATATAAAAACTAATATAGATCAGTTAAATTCAACGTTTTATGAGTTCAAAGTTCAACTGGTGTTATATGTACTACACCATATATGGATTACCGTAGACCTCTTAATGCGGTGTCGCCTTTTGTAATCTAGTCTTGAAAATCATTTATACTGAATGACCTCATACTTGATAAATAACGATGTGGCTAATTTAAATTCACTAAAAAAATGTTGCCATTTAAAAAAAAGAAATCTGTGCCGTGTCCCTACAAAGCGTGGCTCTCCACAATTTCCTGCTCTCAGTATACCTTAGTAAAGCTTGACTTTTTGCTATCTCTCCTAATCTAGCATTTACACAAGTTCGTTAGATAGGTTATGCACAGCTTACCTCTCTCTCTCTCTCTCTCTTGCCTTCAATGTCCTGTGAGTGTTAAATTTTCCCAGCCCTCTTTCCTAATTATATACTCTAGAAATTTCAATTTTCTCTTTCAGATTAGTGTCATTTTAGTTTCTATTTTCTCTAAAACTAAAACTGTGCCGTTGCTCACATATTCAGGTATTTTTGGCATCCGTTTGTAGAACCAAGTTTCTGTTGCTTCAAGTCTATTCTTCAACTATAAGCATATTGTCCAGCCTTCACTGAGGACTGATATTGTATAACAGGTCAGTACTCTTTTCTTTGTTTCCAACAAAATTTTCCAGTTTCTTAATACTGTGCTTGGCTTTTGGAAGGCATATTCCAATACGGCTTGGGATTTTGTTATCTCATTTTCCGTCTTTTTAAAACACTTCAGAGATATTTAAATTTACAAACTCGAGTTAGGTACAGAGTTACTTCCCCTAGTCAGCGTGTCTGTCCTGTCTTTCTCTTCCTTTGTGTTGCTCTCATAAGGCAAGGATAAATTTTGGTTCCCTATGAGGATTGACACGAGTCTTTCACTGAAAGCAAAACATTTTGATTTCTCTCATATGCATTATCTTCTTTGCATTTACATTTCTTTCATGAGAAAATAACCTACAATCAAATGGACTGTCTACCAGGGTCACCACAGCTATGGGGTGCTGAAAAATTCTTTGCTTGATCAAAAATGGATTACAAAAAAAAAAAATTGCTATATTCATTCAGATTTTGGCAAGTAGATTCTGCTGAGAGCTTATCAGCACCCCATTCCATATGAGCATTTTATTCTTTCCACCATTTTTTTTTGTTTTCTTGAAATATCTATACCAAAGTTTTTACCAAAATGTTGGTCCAAGAGAGAATCCTGTTATTAAATCTCTTATTTTCCTTGGCTGAAATGAATTTAAAAAAAATAAGCCAATCAAAACTCTCTGAAGCAAAAAAAAAAAAAAAAAAAGAAGTACTATAATACAGCCATTTGTAGCCAAAAACTTGTATATACAAAAGCAAATTTTCTTAATTGTTGCAAGAAACAATACGTTTGTCATTCTTTTTAAAAGTTAAAACAGAAATGAAAGAAAGCAAATATTGTTGAGAAAAGCAATGCAAAAAGCAGGAAAACAGAAAATCATAAATAAGAAAAAGTTCAGTTTATTGATATAGAGCAGAAAGGTTAAAAAGCAGAAAGTTAATGATGCATAGATTTTAGAATCTCTCAGCGGGAGTGAGAGAAACGTCACAGTTAAACTAACAACAGGCACAAAATTAGTGAAAGCTGGCAGATGAGAACAAATTTCATCATCACAGTCATAACGTTTAAAAAAAATTGATCAGCCATTTTGGTTTTTGTTACTAATTTATCAGTAATCATCAGGTCAACTAAATGACATCTAGATTTGGTTTAATCAAAAGGAATCTAAAATATTTTTTTAACCATGCAAAGACATCATTATAAGAGAAACAGTCAAAGGAACTAAAAAGTACATATCTAAATTCTTCATTTGTTCTCAAGGACAATTTCCAGTCAATAAATGTAATGGTTAGCAAGCTGATTTATTGACTATTACTAGAGTTTTATGTTCAATCCTTACTGAGTGTTTGATGTTTGTCATCTTGTGCCAAATATATTTTAAATAGTTAGTAAATGACAATGAACTTTATAAGAATTTCAAGAACCGATAAATTCTAACTTCATTTGCTATGTGTAAAATGGAAGGGCAGACTGGGTTATATTGCCTTGGTAGGGCAACCAGTCTAGATGGCCAACTCTGAATTCAAAGCCATGGAAAAGATAGTAGGGAAATGCCTGTA